CCCCCCCCCTTCCCTCTCCTTCCTGCCCCCCGATCTGCACCACGCCATCAGCAGAGCCCAGGAGAGATCTACACCTTAGGGGGGGCCCATGGGACTAGGGGGATGCTCACAGAACTCCCACCACGCAGGAATCCCCAGGTGAAAGTGCTGCTTGCACATCTGCAACCCCCACCACCGAGCCGGGGGGAGAAATCGCCCGAGAGCCATTTCAAAGACACCCAGTAGTAAGGCCCGAAACGGTCCAGGGCGAAATCCGGCCCTCACTTCAACACGGGCTTCTGCTGAGGTGTCGCCCCGGCCCGTGTGCGTGTGTCCACGTACTGCCCTGCGCTAAGGCAGGGTATCAAAGCACAACCATTGCCCGAGCCGCAGGAAGGGGAGAAAGGCAAAGAGAAATGTGTCTTGATTCTCTGCCCGGCGCTGCCCACGCGCACGAAAATCGGCAATCGACAGTCAAGTCCTAGCAGCCCTGCAGATGCAAGCAAATGTGCACAGCCTGGCACGCTTGTGCGACCTAACTCTAAACAAGCGTGCACGGCCCCGCACACCTGTGCAACTCCGCTCTAAATGAGCGTGCATGGCCCAGCACTCCTGTGCAACTCCACACTAAACAAGTGTGCATGGCTCCACACGCCTGTGCAACTCTGCACTAAACAAGCATGCATGGCCCAGCAGTCCAGTGCAACTCCACTCTAAACAAGCGTGCACGGCCCAGCACTCCTGTGCAACTCTGCACTAAACAAGCGTGCACGGCCCAGCACTCCTGTGCAACTCTGCACTAAACAAGCGTGCACGGCCCAGCACTCCTGTGCAACTCTGCACTAAACAAGCGTGCACGGCCCAGCACTCCTGTGCAACTCTGCACTAAACAAGCGTGCACGGCCCAGCACTCCTGTGCAACTCTGCACTAAACAAGCGTGCACGGCCCAGCACTCCTGTGCAACTCTGCACTAAACAAGCGTGCACGGCCCAGCACTCCTGTGCAACTCTGCACTAAACAAGCGTGCACGGCCCAGCACTCCTGTGCAACTCTGCACTAAACAAGCGTGCACGGCCCAGCACTCCTGTGCAACTCTGCACTAAACAAGCGTGCACGGCCCAGCACTCCTGTGCAACTCTGCACTAAACAAGCGTGCACGGCCCAGCACTCCTGTGCAACTCTGCACTAAACAAGCGTGCACGGCCCAGCACTCCTGTGCAACTCTGCACTAAACAAGCGTGCACGGCCCAGCACTCCTGTGCAACTCTGCACTAAACAAGCGTGCACGGCCCAGCACTCCTGTGCAACTCTGCACTAAACAAGCGTGCACGGCCCAGCACTCCTGTGCAACTCTGCACTAAACAAGCGTGCACGGCCCAGCACTCCTGTGCAACTCTGCACTAAACAAGCGTGCACGGCCCAGCACTCCTGTGCAACTCTGCACTAAACAAGCGTGCACGGCCCAGCGCTCCTGTGCAACTCCTCTTTAAAGTGTGCACGGCCCAGTGCTCAGGAGCAGCCGTGCAAGAACAAGCCAGGGAGAGAGGCAAACAATCCAGCCGAGAATCAGGCTTCTGGTCCACGTCTCCCGTGCCCACGGGAGGCGCTGGGCAGAGACTAGGCTGGGGAGACAGAGACGCCTACAGCAGGATCAGTACAGGGTTGCCAGATGGTTTCAGAAAAAATACTGAACAACAACAAAAACACGCCAGGAAAACGTTTGTTGAGAAAACAACACCACCACCGTGGCCCCTTTAAAAACTGCGTGGTGAGGCTATTTGGCCCTAACAGGCCGCCGGCGGCCACTCGCATCTTGCCTCCCTGCACCAGACAGCTCCCTGAGGAACCCAATAAGCACTGGGGTTGCCGGGCTGCCTCCGTATTGAGCCGGACAGCCTGGGATTTTCCCCTTCTGGCTGGGAAAAAATCAAAGTCCCGGACGTTTTAGGTGTCCGGTATTTTCTGAATTTTTTTACCGGATAGGAGGCGAAAATGGAGTCAGCCGGGAGTATCCCCCAATTCCAGGGGGCAGCTCCCCTAGTCCTCTCTGTCCCAATGCGCTGGGTCTCGCTCGGGGGGCGTGAGCCCGTTCCCTCCCAGCCCCCCCGTCGCCCCGATCCCCTGCTGCCGGCTTTGCAGGGCAGAGCGACGCGACGGCGCCCTTTGCAGGGCGAGCTGCTGCCGGGCCGCACGCAGAGCGCACAGTGACGCTTTCCCACCATGCACCTGTCACCCCAGCACCGAGACCACGGACAGCCAGAGCTAAGAACAAGGGAGCCCTAAGGCCTCAGCTTGGAGCCAGCTGGCTTCATAGCTCCACCTGTAGCAGGGCCTCTGCTATGCTCCGGAGGACCTGGGTTCAAATCTGCCTGGTGACGGTGATCAATAGAGCCTTGCCCTGGGGTTGGGCTTCCTGAGCTAGGGGAGGTGTGTAGTCCTTGTGTGGTTTGCTGCCCTGTGCAGTGGTACTTAAGCCACACTGCAGAGTAGGTGTGCCCTTGGAGACAGAATGTGTCAAGCCTGATTCATTGGTGCCTGTTCCAAGGCCAGCTGCTGGGGGGGTGTCTGAACCTGCACTGCCAGGGGCTGTGGCTGTCCCCCAGAAACATCCTGGCTTGGGAGGATACTTCAAAAATTAGTGCCCACCTCTGCTTTAGCGACAGCCAGCTGGGCATCTCCTTTGTGTTTCAGGAACCCGGGGCCCCTCTTTGATTGAGGCAGACGGGCCGACCTCACCTGTGCACGTGCTGTGCACTTTCCCTAGAGCAGTGGTCCCCAAACTTCCAGCACCAGCTCTCAGAAGCAAACTGGTGACCTAAAGCCCTGGCTGAAGTGGTTCCGGGTGGCCTTATATGTGGACGCTCTCTTTGCAGATCACTTTTTCGATGAGCTTTTGTGTGTGGATGCTCTCTTTTGGAAGAGCTTCTTCCAAAAGAAGCCTGCAGTCTAGATGTAGCCACATTTCAAGAAAGAGGGGAAGAAATTGGAGAAGGTCCAGAGAAGAGCAACAAATATGATTGGCGGGCTAGGAAACAGGAGCTCTGCAGGAAGACTGAAAAAACGGGGTTGATTTAGTCTAGAGAAGAGAAGGCTGGGCTAACAGCTTGCAACTACCTAAAAGGTTCTTACCAGGAGGAAGGGGGGGAATCGTTCTCCTTGGGTGCTGAGGACAGGACAAGGAGCAATGGGCTTAAACTGCAGCAAGGGAGGTTTAGGTTGGACATTGGGAAAAACTTCCTGCCTGTCCGGGTGGTGAAACACTGGAATAAGTTGCCCAGGGAGGTTGTGGAATCTCCATCCCTGGAGATATTTCAGAGCGGGTTGGGCAGACAGGCTCCCCTACCCAAAGAGGGTTCCCCAGCCAAGACCTGGACGGTGCTTGGCCCTGCCGTGAGGGACTCGATGCCGCTCGAGGGCCCTTCCAGCTCTAGGGTTCTGAGGCTGCATGGCTGAGGTGGGGCTTTGCGGGGGTGTTTGCAGCTGTGCATGTGTAGAAATGTAGCTTCCCCGCTCGCTCCCTGATGCCGGGTGTCTGGTTTCTGGGGCGTGTCCCGTGGGACAGCTGGTGGCAGGAGGGCGTGAGACAGTCACCTCACGCACGGCCCCCCCGCCCCAGCTGAGCCGCAACGCCTGTGGCTGGGCTCCGATCCGACACCCGGGCAGCTCTGTGCCCAGGGGTCTGGGTTTCCTCCGCTTTGGAGAGGTCGGATCGGAGGCCGTTCGCTCCCCACACCCTACAGACACTTACCCGGGAGGTTAACTCGTGCACTAGCATCCCCGAGCACAAGGGGAGGGGAATACAGAGCCAGTGCCTGGAAAGCAGCCAGAAATGCAGACGGGGCCAGCTCGGAGGTCAGAATGTATGGGCTGGCCCGAGGGGCGACTGAGATCACTTGGCAATTTGAGATGCTTCCAAGGCGGTTGTCACCCGAGCCTGCATCCCAGATGGGCAGTGTCGGCAGAAAAGCCAGGCAGGGTCCCTCCATCCAGTCCAGTGTCCTGTCTGCCAAGAGAGGCTGGTGCCAGAGGCGTCGGCGGAAGGGGACAAAACAGGGCATTTCATCAGGGGATCCATCCCCCTTTCCACCCCTCCTGGGGTCTGGCCATCAGAGGTGTAGGGCCCCCGGAGGCCTGGCCTGGCCAATAGCCTCTGATGGACCTGCCCTCCACGAACATGTGCCGTGGAAAGCAAGATGCAGGCAG